GGAGGGACACGCCCCCTGGAGAGACACGCCCCCTGGAGAGACACGCCCACTGTAGGGACACGCCCACTGGAGGGACATGCTCAAGCTCCTGCTCAGCGATCCCGTTTGCTTGGTAGCCCTCAACTGCACATTCCACTGCGAAGCCAAGATGTCAAAAAATATCACAACAGCTTCACTTTAGAAAATATCATCAAAATACGGCATACTGTGGTAAAATGTCTGGACATGAAAAACGAAATGCTGTCCAAGCATAAATCACTGTCCCCCCTCACTATGAATGTCACCCTACATTCTGAGATTCCCCCCCCCCCCCACACATCAGCATGGCTGCTTATCCACTATTCTGTGGCAATGGGGGCCCCGCTCTTTCCAGGCGACAGCCTCCACAGCCCAACTGCATCAGAACGTAAGTTTAAAAACATTAAGGGGTCCTGTAGCCTCAGAGCCCCAAGGCTGGGGGTTTGACTCCCACACCCCGGCTCTGAATGTCTGGAGTTTTCATACTTTCCACATGTTTGTACAGAGGTCCTATTGCAGCCCAAGAAGGTAAACTGATGTCTCTAAATTAACCATAGCCCTCTTCTCTCCAGACCCCTATCAATTCTGTACCAGATAACAGGTTAGAAGACGGATGGTTCAATCATCCTTCATAAATCTTTCTAACCATTAATATTACTTACAAATATCTCAGTGAGTCCTTCACACAAATCTCTCTGGTTATTAGTAGTGATGCTCCGATTGATCGGCCACCGATCATGATCGGCCGATATTGGCTAAAAATAGCTAGATCGGCGAACCCCAAAAGCGCCGATCAAAAAAGCCGATCACTTGACGTAAATTACTCGCGCGACTTTTTCACACGTGCATGCACGGCGCACAGGTAAACAACAGCAGAGCGGAGCTTACTAGTGGCAACATGAGTTCTCCCGTCTGGAAGTTTTTCAAAGTGTCCGATACAGACGTAAAGTTAGCCGTTTGCAATGTATGTCGTGATGAAATCCCTCGAGGTGGAAGCAAGCAACGGCATTTTAACACCACTAACATGATTAGGCATCTTAGAACACGCCATACAACTGAATATGCCGAGTATGAGAAACTAAACCACTCTGCTCTTGGGGAACATTTCATGTGTTGACCCTGGAGGTGTCAGACAACAGTGCTGACCAAAGTGTCACTGCCCCTCCTTCAGTGTGGGGCGCCAAGTGTCAAGCGCTTGATTCTTCAAGATCTTGACTGTAGCCTATTTCTACAGTTTTTCAATATAGTTAATTTAGAGTTAGTTTCATTTCTACAAATGGTGCAAACTCTGCTAGATTATAGATAAAAGATTCCCATTCCCCTGCCATTCTGTGATCGGCAGTGATCGGCAATCGGCAGATCATGATCTTGGTGATCGGTAATCGGTGATCGGCCCCAAAAATGCTGATCGGAGCATCTCTAGTTATTAGTATCCCAGATCATCTCAGCCAGCCTGAGTATTACTCCATAACGCTGACCCCCCAAAACCATAAATGATCCTGATCTCCTCACATAGATGTCCATCCCAGCCTGTCTCACTATTGGTTGTCAGCCACGAGCACAGCCCGCCCCCCAGAAAGATATTCATGTTTCAATCTCCGCCACCTGTCCTGTATCACTTTTTAAACCCTAACTCCATTCTCTGGGTCATGCATAACCCCACCCCCCCTTTTCCCCCAGTCACTCCTCCTAATTAAAAAAAGCGGCATCCATTCTCATTAAACTTCATAATTTAGTTTCTGTGTACACGCAGCAGGAAGAGCCTGACGATCAGAGATAGGGGTGACTTCTGCAGTCTGTGTGTGTGCGTGTTTCAGTAATTAGTGTCTAACTTTCAGTTCCTAAGAGAAACACAGAAGGAAGCCAGAGAGCCGCCACAGCCGCGCGCCTGCGTGGGAGGGGATGGGGGCTCATGGCCCAGCTTTGGGAGGCCCTGTGTTTACACACTCAGACCGGCGACATGTGCCAATCAGGCCGCCACCAGTCTCCAAAACCAGCAGGGGACCAGCTCACCTTCAAGCGTAACACCTCACCCCCTCTCCCCCACCCTGGGAGGCCTCAATAGGAGGAATTGTGGTGTCAGTTTGCAGCCCTTCTGTGGTCCAAAGCAAAAGAGGAATTGGGATTTTGTTACCAAAAACAGGGACTGACACAATCCTGCTTTGCAGAGGGAAACAAATTCCACTGAAAGCCCAACAAGAGCCATGAAGGGGCATCGGTGTCACCTTTGAGGGTGATGAGGAAGCAGTTATGACAGCCACTGTAGTGTGTGACTGAGCCGGCTGAACACTGTGCTTGTGATTGGAAGGTTGTCGGTTCAAATCCCAAGATAGGCAGAGTGATTTCACCGTTGCAAGGCCCTGAAGCAACTGGGGGAGGGGGGGGGGGGTGTGTGGTTATCTGACCCTACTGACTGCTAACTCCTGGGGGGGGGGTTGCCAAATTCCCCCAGCCAAACAGGAATGGACACAATACAGCCAAAGCTGCCTGCTTTTCTTTTATCTACTCTGCATGTCCAACTATATTTCAGAGGCAGGGTGGAGTACAAAGCTCTTAGCATGGTGGGGGGGGGGGCTTGGAAAACAGCTCCATACAAAATAACACAAGAAGGAAAAGAAATTAAAAAAATCTGCAACGGGGGCGTTTCCAATGGCTGGATGAAAGCTCAGGGAGGCGTCGGTGGATATGGGGGATGCATAGGACTTCAGGAGGGGGAGGGCCTTAAAACATAATGCAAGCATAACATTCCGCAGGCAGTTTTACACAATGCACACTCTCATCCCCCCCCCCATCACGAAGCCTCTCGTGCCGCTATGCTGAGGCACATTCTCCAAACACTGGTCATCCTTCAAACCACAGAGAGTATTTCTGCTAACTGGATTGGAGATGAATGTGGCTATTTTAGCACGATGACCACAAAAATACCAATCATTTCACATCCTCATGCCTAAAATAATGAAAGTAGCATGCATAATAATATATCATTACCTTAGACTTTGACATGTTTCCTGGCCTGCAGATACATTTCTTGATTTGGTGGATGAAACCAGTTAGGTCTGCAAAGATGCTGAGTATTATGGAGTAATGCAAGGGGAACAGAATGGGACCCCCCCCATGTAAGCCTAGTAGTCAGCAGAGGCAAGGGCCTCGTTTAACAGAGATGGACGTCAAGCACACAAGTCAGATCCAAGATTTAATTCCAGCAGTAAAGATCAAAAAAGCTGCAACGGCAGCAAATGAGAAGAACAGCCAAATCTGTGCCGTTCTGCCCAAAAGCACAGCTGAGAGCATAAGAGTGGGAGAGTTTAGACAAACCAGTCATTTCCTGAACTATATTACAGTTTATGCGACTCAGATGTGCCGTAAGCAACAAAGTATCCACAGAGGGGAAGAAAAACAGCATAGGTTACAGCTCAGTAAATATTCACACAAATACATCCGAAAGGTTGAATCTTGGACGGATGGATAGATGGATGAATGGATGGATGGAATAAAGCATGATGCATCACTAACAGGTTACTGGAATATAGCTTATCAAAATTAACTGATCATTTCCTCAGAGGTAGGACAGTCCAGTAAGTGACTGTAAGAAGGTCTGATTTAAACCATTACACCACCACTGTATCAACCCAACAGTTAGACCCGACAAGTTCATCTGTGCTGAAGCTCAGCTCTGTGAAATGATGGTAAGACTAAATACAACTAAATGGAATAAAATCAGAACATCTATCTATATATATATATATATATATAAAGAAAAAAAAACCACTTTATGTCGTTTATAAACTACGGAAGAGGATTAGGGCCACCATGAAAAGATTATTTAAATTCTTACTTTAATCTCAGAATTCTGACTTGATTCTCAGAATTTAGAAAGAAAGTCAGAATTCTGACATTAAAGTCAGAATTCAAATAATATTGTCATGGTGGCCCTGCTCCTCTTCCGTATTAAACTGCCCACAAGGACTAACTGCTGAAATGTGCTACAGGATCCTAGTGAAGGGTGTGCCCACCTCCATAGCGTCATATTAACACAATTATATTTACCGTTTTTACTTTGAACCAGAAAACCCAAAGACGTATGAATAACAGAGCGGGAAGTTTGATTTGAAATTTGTGGAATTTACCAGAGATTCCCTCTTCCTCTGCAAGGCCGTGCACTGAAAGCGGGGGTGACGTCTGACATACAGAGAGCTCGGTGTGTCCCCCCCCCCCCCCCCTTCGGTGCCACGTCTGAACCCATGCCGCCTGGGGGCCGTGAAACAATTAGCATTACATCGGAAACTACCGGCAGCTACACAGACCACCCACCCGCACACGGACACACACACAAACGTAGGTTTCAGTTTTGCATCATCAGTAAAACTGCATTAATATAGTGGATGGAATAGCTTTTATAAAACTCAGTGTAGAATACAAGATGCCCAGGCCAAAATCTGAAGTGTGCGGGAGGATCTGAATGCTCCTGCCTGATATACAGTGGATTCATCTGGAATGATGTTGGACTGCAAACCCCCCCCCCCATAAATAAGTAATCCAGCAGATCATTCATAAATGTAATTACATGCTACAGATAACTGCGCCAACGACTTCAGCTTTCTGATGAAGAATAACAATCCAGTGAGTGTATGTTGTATTTTAACTCGAAAATAATGCCATCCCTGCAGACTGGAGAGCTTTTCAGGAACTGGATATGATGGAATTATTGTCGAAGCTGCTACATTAACAGTACTAACCCCTCACCAGAGACTCTCCGTTTGCTCAACTCCAATCCAGCACCCCATACCTGGCAAAAAGCCACCCAGTCTCACAAAAGTACCTTTATGATCAAAGACCTCGCCAATCCCCGACAGCCATCATCGCCATCATTAATAACAGCGTGATAAATCGTTACGTTCGGGGGGGCGGTAAATAAAGACGGTCCGTGCTTCGGACAAGACGAGCAAACGGCGAGGCAAACGCGCATCGTCCTCCCCGATTACCTGATTTCAAGTTGATCTGGAAGTAGAAGATCACGATGATAAAGGAACCCAGACATCCCCCCAGAACCAGCCGGTAAAGCTGGGGGTTTCTCATTCCGACGCCCCGAAACGGCCGAGGGGACCCGAACCGAACCTCTGTCCGGCAGCGGCTGGTACGAAGCGGGGATCGTCCTATTTGGCTTTTACGCCCGTCTGCGCGGGCGAGGCAGCGGGGAGCTGCATGACTGCCCTGAAACTTCGGCAGGCTACTCCAGGAAATCGCTCCTTTAAGTATAAAACTCCATGGATATGCCTCCGCAAGAAAGTCCACCTCGCTTCAGGCACAACAAAGAAAATGCGCGGTGCTCCTTAATTAGGGCGCAAGCAGAGCTGCGGGGGCTGATCCGCTGTGCTGCGAGCCTCCGCCAGCCCCGCCGATGCCCCCACTGGATCACAGCTCTTTCGGGTTGCTGAGTTGCCGGTCGGCTACGTGGTGCGGTGGCGGCCGGCTGCCCTCTCCGGAGGGCTGCTTACGCGATGGGTGCCCCCCTACTTCTCAGTGTTAAAGATGCAGTCCCGTACAACCCCCGCGGTTCCGCTTACTGGGAAAAACCAGATCTGCATGTCTCCAATATTGTACATAATACATCGCAAAAAATAATTTAATTAATCTAATCTAAAACACTGGTAAAAAAACACAAACTACGACCATGCCATAATATTTACTTAAAATATGTTCAGTTCCTTGTATGTTAACCATTAACCTAACCTTTAGTTATGTGTTAAGCATTCTTTTATAACAATCCAAAACTACTGCAAAACCAGATGTACTAATAAAATACGGGTCTAAGCAAATCACGAATATCCTCTGTCAATCATTTTAAGACACACTGTATTGGCTATTTGCAGTACAATCATAGTCCAATTTGATGTAGTAGTAGAACAAAATGGTAATTCAGCTGTTATTTATAATTTTGTATAATTTTATATACATTTAAACTGTGCTTAGTACTGATCTAATTATTGCTGCTATTGGTGAATTTCTGCTTATCTCCTCCCGATGGTTGACATCACGTGATTGTCCAGCTGGATCTAACTGGCTTAGTTCACAAAACAATTAATGGCACCATATCACCATCTACTATTGAGAAAAAGGTTATCCATCCATCCATATTAACATCTATTGTTTGGTACAGAAGACTTGGGCTTTCCCTTCCCTACCATTTATGATGTTTGTAAACATTTTTACTGGCACAAATCTTACTACTTCTCACATTTTGTTTCAAAACTAATTTATTCACACCCTTATGAATTATATACAGTACTAAGCGATATTTTTGATCAGTTATTAGTGGTGAGATTAAAAATCACTTACATAAATTTACTATGCATACTCCTGCAATCAGCTGTGTGAGACCCTGTGGGTTAGGGGTCTGCTATCTGGAAGGTGGTTTGTTCAAACTGTACACAAGCAGAGAAACCTTGTCACTTTTAGTTCCTTGATCAAGACCTATAACCCAAAAAACTGCTTAAGGGATGCCAGACTAATGTCTGATCCCAAGATTTGTTTTTTACCTGTTGATGTCTCATAGGAGAGCAAGATGAGATATGAAATGGATGAAATCTTGTTATACTACCTACCTGTACAATGACAACAAAAGCATTTCATAGTATTCTTTATCAGTTCAGCTAAAAAAAAACTAGCTGAACTGATCTCTTCTCATCCCCTTTCTCTGTGCTTTGTCTTTTCATCCTGTGGATTAACGAAATGCTCAGTCATGCTCGGTAGGAGGCTGATTGAACTCTGTGGTGGGTTCATTCAAGGACATCACAAAATCTCCTAGGAGCAGGACAGGAGGAACATCACCCAAGGAGCTGTGAATTCACTCACTGACCGGTGGCAAATCTTCCACTCTTACCTGGCTTGGTCTGGTGTTCAGAAATAACCATTTTAGCTAATTCCCACTATAGTACCACAGAAATTTCAATGTATTCAAGCAATAATATAGTTGTGCAGCAATATGGTTCTGTATTTTGCATGCAGGAGAAAGGCAAACATCACATTTTCATCCATCCATCCATCCATCCATCTTCCAGTCATTCATCCAGGACAGGGTTGCAGCTAGAGAACATGGAAGCAAGGGGCCCGAATAAGGGGAACATAATTGAAATACCAGTCCATCACAGGGCTCACACTCAGACAATGTAGAAATGCCAATTCACTTCCATATCTTACAGAACTGCAGGAGAAAACCAGTGGATTACCGCTTTAAACACCATGACCTCAAACATGAAAAGTCAAATGGCAGACGTGATTGCCAAGAAATTCCACAGTCACTATTCTTCCCAGAATTGCAATTAAATATCAGTTTCTTTAACTGAATAAACTAAAACAAGGATTCACGTAGTTGTGCATAAATATGAACCAGAATGTTTAAAGTGTGGATCAGAGTATCTCAATGACAAAGGGTAAGGAAAATATATCAATAACAATAAGAAGAGGGTAACAGGTTTTAAACACATACATCAAAAGTATTCATACTCTTTTTTTATAAATTATAATTACAAATGGATCTTCATCAGAGTCCTTTTATTTACCATGTAGAAAAAGTAGAAGCAAGTTGTGTAGGTGATGGCATGGGGATACAATTCAAATATTGTCAAAAAATACTAAGAGATAGTCACACAAATAAAGAGGTAAGGAATAACAAAATGTTCGATTAATAAATATGTCAGCATATGTCAGCATATAAATAAGGGTGAGACAACAGGATGTGGGGAACAAGCAGTTAGAGGACTTGCTGATAAAGTTAGAATAAAATACAGGGAGTGACTTAGTGTGGGAGGGTCTCAACGGGAACCATGTTTAGGAGGGGAGTGGCCTGGGGAAGAAGCTGCTCAGATGCCGAGTCGTCCTTCTACTTTGTCTCTTGCTTTCAGCGCTCACCAGTCCCATTAGCTTGCACACTGGGAGACACTGGGAGAGCAGGTCACCATGGTGTGACATTATTTTCATTGTTTTGTATCTTGTAACCTTTTGTGATGGATTAATTATGCAGAATTCTTGGTGTTAAACTGGTTCACAGTGGCACTTACAGTAGATGTTTAGTAAATGTGTTAGTGTCAAAATAATTGGTGTATTGAAAAAAAAATCTGCATAGCTGAGCAAGATCTCTTGCTACTAAGGTTATTTAATTCTGTTCCCTTTTCAAGTTATGCAACTTTTGGCTAAATAAAGAGTTTTAGTACCTCGTCTGAGGGTACAGTAGAAAAATTTCTTGGGACCTGAACAAACCTTAAAAAAATACATTTTCTTCCTTTGGGAACACATCCTTTTCTTAACTCCCCTAATCATCAATGAAACCTCACATAAAACAATTGGACAATGGCAGCTGTACCATCCATCCATCCATCCATCCAAATTTCTACATGTTAAACTTATTTTACAGAGAAGTATGCAGTACTGTGAATTGTCTATTTTTGACTATTTTTTTTGTGTGGCGTACTGTGCAGTCAGTAATCACAAAAAAAAAAAATAATTGCTCCAGGATTATAAAGGTTGTCTGATTCTGATTCATCCACCCACTGCTTATCCTGGACAGGGCTGTGGAGGGTCAAGGAGTGTCACAAAGCAGTTGTATATACTGGATAAGATGCTTGTCCCTCAAAGGACACATTACTCATCCTAATGGTACAGGCAATTTAGATACATCACCTAGCCTAAATGCATGTCTTTGGACTGCAGGAGGGAATGAGAGTACAGAGAGGAACCCTTCTCACACGCGGAGTACATGTAAACCTCACATAAACAGGGCAGAGATATGTAATATGAACACAAGGTGTGAAACAACAGCGGTACCAGCCAGTCACCATGAAATTCAGCAGTATTATTATACAAGAATATTTTTAAATCAGGCAAAAGTAAATATGGTGTATATAGTACTCTTAAGTCATTTCTCTTCAGGTCTAAGTTTAGCTTTAATCTGATAAAGGATTTAATGTGTGTGTGTGAGTTTGTAATAAAATCCCTGGCCTTCTGAGAGGGGTGAATGCAGTCAAATAAATAGTAACACAAGGACCAACTGACTCTGGTTCTAACAGCTAGTTAATATTTCTTTTTGGAGGGGTCAGAATTGTCCCAGTTGAATTTAGACTTGGCTACAATGATTCCAGCAGAACTGTACTGTTTTCCTGAAATATTACTTTAGCATCACACCTTTCATATCATGTGATACACATTTTCAGGTGCAGCTTTTCATTATTTAACTCCGGTGTCCGATAAAAATTGTCTTGTTTTTAAAAAGCCGTTGTTAGGGTGGATTACTATCTCAATACTGCCCTCTGCTGGAAGAGGAAAAAATACAAAACCATTTTCCTTCTTCTTCACTCCTACAGAAGTTAAAAGATAATTATTTATTAAACCCTGAAGACAGTGCCACAGTTGTAGGGAAAAACGCGACTTATGAATCACAAATCTGAGTCAATAAGAAAATACAGGACTGTTTATCAATTTAGACTTTACTCAGTGAGTTGTTTGGATGTGTAGTGTGTTCAGAAAGGGATCTGTGAAGCAGGTGTAATCTTCAGAGGACAACAAATAGAAAAAAACATGCAATTCCCAAACATGAAAATCATTTACAGATGGAGAGTGAATGCGGTTCTCTATTCCACCCCTGAATGTGTAAATTTTGGGTGTTTTAAGTTTTTTGTGCCAATTTTCTTTGAATTACTTAATGCAAAAGAAAACATTCATTTTTTTTTCTGCATGACAAAGTTAATGACTCAGAACCCCCCTCTCAAAAATAAAAATCAAAAGCCAACAATCCAATTAAAATAGTGTATCGGTTTCTTGGCGAATTCTCAGGGCAGATGAGCTCTTATTCTGAAGGTTTCTTTGACTTCCGGTCAGAGTTTTTTGGTATCTCAGCATCAACCGGATCTACTTTTCTTCTCTTCCTGTTTATTAATAAAGTAGTTTCATCCCTTTCACGGGCTAAGCAACTGCCTCCTGTCTCTTCTCTCACCACAATAGCATTTTTAAATTTGCAAAAATTGATCTGACAGGACTTATTTTTACTGCAGCGGAAACTGTCCAACTGCAAGATGAGACAAAGCACAGTACTAATCCAATAAAATTTGTCTTCTCATTCATCCATATGGTTTAACAGTAGTTCTCAATCCTTTTCCTGCTGGCAGAAAGTTTTCATTCCAACCTATACTGCTTTTAACCTGCCACATTCATTATTACCCTATTAAGGACCATATGAGTCTGATTAACACAGAGTTAGAATGAAAACATTCTGGAACAGGATTGAGAACCACTGGTTTAACATGACATTTCAGCCAATACCAACAGGGGGCAGATGTGTATATCTTATGGGACAAGACACACTATGGATGAATGTACTCTATTTAGGTCACCACAATCCCAGGAACAATGACGTCCCAAACTAGAATCACAGGAAGTAATTCTAGTAAATACCTAATTTCCAACAAAAGCCTTCCGGGAGATCTGATAACATTTACTCGGTGGTCTGAAACCAAAGCTCAACAAATATTTTCAACCCATCACACTAATATCTAGGTGTTGGTATCTGTTTTTACGGTTTTATTCATTCATTTATTTGATGTATTCCTTTGACTGGCTGTAACTTAGATTTCCCGGGTGGGAAAATAAATTTGACTTGACTATTTCTAATTTTTTAACATACTGCCATTTTAACACACACAGACTGGCAGAAAACCTTTTG